AAGCCTATGGTTAGTATACGCAATAACTATTTAAGCCTAATTACACACAGTATACAACGTATATAGATCTATTTATATCTCATATTCTGCCATGCATTCTCCCTCTTATGTTTATGTTCAATTAGACCTTGAAAATAACTTGCCTGATCTATGTACAATATATATGGAATTCAATTGAACGTGTTTTGAAAGTATCTATAACTTAAGTCGATAGATTGTAAACGAATTTGCTAGGCATCAAATGAGTTTTCATATTCAAATATTAACAACTCTATCTATAAGCTTATCTGTCTAGTATTTCTGTTTTTGAACAGCAAGTGAATTTAATAATTATTTTGTTGTTTCTTAAAATAAATTTTAAATTTGCTTTAATATCCATAAAATTAATATCTGTGATTGGATTTCATAAGTATGTAGATCTATAAATAGAGTTCGGACTTAAATTATAAAAAATTTAGTTTTTAGAAGTAGAAGACAGAATTAGATTAGCAAATTGAGTCTACAGCAAGGTTTCTCATCTTCAATTTATATTTTTAAATAAGTCTCAAATATTATAATTGAAACAAGAAATGTTTTGAGCTTAGCCAATTTAGATAGTTGAATAGTTGAAAATAAATACATAATAGTATTATATATTATAAATAGATAAAATAGTAAATACGTAGATACATATATATAATTGTACAATAAAATAATAATGCTTATAATATTAAATTAAGTTTTTAAAAACTGAATGTATTCCAATATTTTTGTCAATATTTATGAATCATGAAATAATCGAGTATAAAATTGAGTAATTGGATACTTTTTGAAACTACAGTTTGACATTCCTTTTTTACCCTGGGTATACTTATAGTAAATAAAAGTAAATCTCGAGAAATATCTGCCATGGAAGATCATCTATTTATACACGCATCCAACATCTTTCTTTCACTCAACTGTTTGTTTATTTGTTTTGCTTGTCTGGTCAAAGATGTCTTTCCGGTCAAGCGGGTTTATCATATAGGTATGTATATATATATATACATATATATGAGTGACTTTATAAATACTGGTACTTCTCTTTTATGATTGCTTATTGTTTTCCATTTGCTGTATTTTTCTCGCTTTTTTGGCTGAGTATTTATAAAATTCATTTGCATTTTATGTTCTGTCCACAGACGTGCCCTTTCCGAAATACTTAAGTGTATTTATAGGTATATATAAGTATATATAGCTATAGCTCTCTCTGCAGTTTAATCAGCTTGTGGTTGGGATTAAATAAGAACTCTGCTCAGTTATCTTTGACCTTGACCTAATGACCTACTTCTGCAGCAGACAAGAGAAAAGTAATAGAAAAAATATAGAAATTCCCTTAATATATTTACTGTCGTAAAACCCATGTATAGTGTATTATAAATTTATATTTTTTATATGGGAAATTTCAGGCCTTTTTTCAGTTTTTCTAAGCAAACTGTTTCAGCTTTCTCTAGAGCTAAAGCTCACCAAGGTTGTATTTAATCATGCCCTCATTTAAAATTAATTTATTACATGTATATATATAAATTTATATATATATATATATATATATATATATATATATATATATATGATCAGTGATAGTGCGAGTTGTTGGCATTGCTTTTTCCTTTTTTTTTTGCAGCTGTTGCCCGTTCTATTTACTTGTCGCAAAGACAACTTTGTTTGTTTTTATTAATCTCTGATTTGTCTAATGTCTGAGTTATTTTTTTGCTCTCATTGCAACTGCAAATTGCGTAGTTTGCAGAGGAAATGTGGGACACGATTTTATAAAAATATATATTATTTATATATATATATATTTATATTATATAGACCTATCGAGTCGCAACATGCGTAGCACATTCATTTCCTACTTTTTGATTACAGTTCATATGACATTGTTTAGCACTATCAATAATGATCTGTTGTTTGACAAATAGAGGTATTTGGAACTGCTGGAGAATGTTTCGAATGTCATGAGTGTTATAGACTTTATTAACTCTAACTCCTCTTTAGAGAATATATATATTATATATAAAGCATGAAAACTATATATATATATCAATTGGACAATGGACTTCGTCTAACACTCTTTAAAGACTAGATATAGCTCAACAAGTATAGCAAGGCCAACCAGTAACTGATAGAAAATCTGTTGAGGTTGGAAACGCTTGGCTCTGTCCATGGCTGCAGGAATTTTCTGGTTGTTTTATACCTTGCTATAAGTGATAAGAAACAATCAACAAATACATGAACTCTAGCCCGCTAAATAAGGAAAACAAAACTAGAATATATTCCAGGTTTTTTAAATGTTAATATATTATATATATTAAATATTATATATGAAATAAAAGTAGACAATCCATTTTTTATGCATTTTTTAGTATAACCTAATAAACCGTTCATCTAACTAGCTAAAGATTTATTAAAGTAATAGATATTTGTTATTGTTAATGTAATTTAAGTGAATATATTTCTGAATGATTATTTTAGCAAAACAAATTGGAATTCTCAGTTATCAAATCTAATTTTAATATAAAAAATATAAAAATATTTTGTATAGTGCAATATTTTATATAATTAATTTCTATTCAGAAAACGAAAAAATTTGTTTTAAGAAAATTTCTTAAAATTTACATTAAAATCTATTATAAATTTAAGATATGAAATCTTTTGTTAAATGCACGTTTTTTTGTTCATTACTTTTTTCACTTTCTACAACTACCAAGAGCTAAGCACTATTCACTCTTTAGTACAGCGATACAGTGGGCCCTAGGTGTCTCTTTTTTTTAACAAATATGACCTTGAACTCAATGTTGATTTGTGATATATATCTATGGGTCATTAAACCCCCACAGCTTGACAACTGTTCAGACAACTTTGCCAATTGAGCAGCTTATTGACTAACAAATTTGTACAGATAGAACAGATACGCGTATATATATACATACACACATCACTCAGGTATTTCTGACATTGATTTAAAATACTTGTTAACTAATTGTTTTTCACTTTGCAACAAAGTAGCAAAAACAAACTTTCGATAGGCTAAGTGCAGTTATGATTAGAATTTCGATTTTAGAATAGACTTACATTAATCTGATATATATATATGGGCACACCTTATATAGAGTAGGTGTGCAGCGTGTTGTAAACTAGATTTATATGTAAATCTTTGAGGCGAGTTATGTATCGAACGAGTTATGCTAATTGACTAATCGAGTGGAGAATGCGACCCAGCCCAAGGTGGAAATGCAGGGTGCTCAAGCAGGTGTGCAGGCGAAGGTCGATTCTCCCTTATACTCTCCCACTCGCGCACACTGTCCAGAGTAATATATATTCTATAGAATATATATATATATATAAATGCAGTTGGCAACTGCTTTGGTTGGGGGAGGAGGCGAGGCGAAGCAGGCGGCGGGCTGCTGCTGCGCTGATAACCTCTGCTGTTGCGGCTGCTGCGGCTGCTGCTCAATTGAAATGAAACTCAGCGACAAGACAAATAATCAAATCGTTCAGTTGCCAGCGAACTAATTTCAATATTTGTCGTCTCTCTTCAAGTGAGAATCAATAAAAGAATTGTAAAAACAACAACAATAATAGCAACAACAGCAGCAGCAACGACAAGAGCAATAAATAGCTAAAAATATGCCACAATCAATATGCAAATATTTACGCAACGCTGCTCCATTTGGTCTAGCTAAAGCGTCCTTCACATCTTAATGGAACTGTATTTGAATTGAACACAGATAGATGATGATGTGAAAGAAGCAGCAGCAGTAGCAGCAGATAGATAACAAGAATTCTGATATTACGACGTAGTTCTGCCAGAGACAGACCATTCAGCTAGATAACTGTAATCAAAGCTAGACAGGAAATTGATTTCATTTTAAAATAGTAAATGCTTAAAAAAATAACATTTACATATTACAATTTCTATATGTATAAAAACATTTTATTTAAATTTTTAATTAACTGTAAAATGTTTTGAAATCAACTCAATTTCCTGTATGCCTATATTTACATCTATTCTTATATATAATTATATACTTATGTGTATTTATATGTATGTATCTTATTGAATATTGATACATTTCTTAAACAAAAATATATTTTTTCTGATATTTGATTATAACTTTTATGATACTGAATATATAAAATAAATATATATTTATATATATATATACATGCTTAAAATACTTTGAAGATAAATAAACTAACTTATCATAATAATAGATTAATAGTGGCTTAGGAATAATAATAATAAAATATTTTAAAAAATTATATCAAATAAGAAAAGTTATATTAGTATTATATTTTAATATTTAAAACACAAATTTATAAAAAATCCACTCTATAATTGAACGCACATGGGCGTGTTCGCTCAACTGAAGAAGAGTTTAGCAGGGATCTACGCAACATACCTACAAAACTCTAAAACTGTGAAGAATAATATTTTTCGCTATTTGCGATTACCGAAAAAGCGTATAAAATAATATTTAGTCAATTTATAGACTGTATAAACATTAAGCTAAAGTCAAATTTTGGAAAACAAGCTCAAAAGCAGTAGAGTACACATTTGCTGCCCAATTTGCTATAGCTTCAATTAACGTACCTCTATATATAAGGTGTTTTTAGCAAAAGATAAATTCCAAATTCCAAAACTCTAACTTCAAAATGTATAGCTTTAGTACCTCAACAGTCTATAAGACGAAAGCACATACAAGTATATAATGGTTTAAAGCTTTTAAATATATAGTGTCCATGTTTATGGTCGACTTTTTAGCACTGCATAAAGCCAAAGAGAAAAGATCTTTGTTAACGATCATTAAAATTGATTGTATATATTAAGCGCATTGAATCTCAATTTTATATTATAATATAATATATATATATAATATAATATATATATATAATATAATATATTAATTAAGTCAATATAATTATTTTTAAACTAAAGATTACATAACTAATTTTCATAATATATGTACTCATTGCAGAGTGCCTCCTAGACCAAAAGGCGTCGCACTACATTGACTATGAAACAACAAGCTTTCCCCAGCATCTCGATGTGGTGCAGCAGGATATGCTACCCATAACCAAAGTGCAGGTGGCGAATGAAGCAAATGCTAATGATTTTCCACACGGTGATTCCTCGATGATACTACAACAATTGACGCCGCCGCAGTCGCCGCCACAATTCGAGGCGCAACAACAACAGCAGCTGGAGGTGCCTTTGAAGCAAGAGTCGAAGCAGGTGAGTTAACCAAAATTCCATGACTTAACAACTACTACAACAGATTCCCTTTTATACTTATAGCTGCAATATGCCACGGACGCTACAGCAACACCAGCCGGTGCGGCCGATGGCTTCAACAACTGGGTGCCCGTCAGTGAGATCATACGCGAAACACAGCTGGTTGACGACATTGTCAATATGCGCGCCAAGGAGTTGCAGCTGCCCTGGCATCAGCAATACAATGATGACTGCGAATCGCAGGCATCCTCCACACTGTGCAGCAGCAGCAGTAGCAGTAGCAGCAGTAGCCCCAGTCCGAGCAGCAGCTTTGCTGATGCGGATGAAGATTGGCTCCCGGGCAGCAACAGCAGCTCACCTGCCCACACCATCAGCGAGGAGCAGCTGTCAACATCAACCTGCAGCTCAGCTAAGGCGGCCAAGAAGCGTACACGCACCTATGGACGCGGCGTTGAGGATCGTAAGATACGTAAAAAGGAGCAGAACAAAAATGCCGCCACACGCTATCGTCAAAAGAAAAAGCAGGAAATGGAGGAAGTCCTCGGCGAGGAGCAGAAGCTGTTGCAGGCCAATGAAGCGTTAAAGCGCCAGCTAGCCGAGCGTCGCAATGAATCACGCTATCTGCGTCAGCTCATACGCGAGTTCTACAAGGAGCGCAAGCAATAGAAGCAGAACACAACTGTTGCCTTTCAAGTTCAAATACAAATTTATCTTTCTGCTTAGTTTAGCTAAATGCCCTATGCAAAGTTATCGTTATCGTCATTGTCACGTTGCAAATGCCCCCTCCCCCCCATCCACCCACACACACAATCAATGCTGCAACAAATGCAATTTGATATCAAACAAACTTTAGCTGCCTGTCCTGTTCAGCATTTCTATTTTGGCACCTATGACAAGTCGCCTTGCTGCGTCTTCGACAAACTCTTTGCCAGTGCTGAACAGTGGACAAAAACAACAACATTATGCCGCACAGGCCACTGTGCCACACACACGTGTGGCACTAAAGTTGACGAGAAAAAATGTATATGAAAACCTTTTTAAGCTCTTAATTAAAATATCATCATCAAACCCTGTGCGGCGGCCGCTAAATGTTATTTTTATTTTCCATTCTATTTCTTGCATTTGTTGTTCGATTTGATTTTTAACTTTTTAACATTTAACATTAAACAGTTGATTTTATTATGAATGAATAATAAAGAAAAGGTTTTCAAAAAAAGCAAACAACTGATGTTTTATATATGCTGCTATAAACTGATATGATTTAGATATATAAACTGAAATAAAAGAACTTTTTTAAGGTATTGGAGCTATGAATTTCATCTCTTTCGTTGCTTTGAGGTAAATTGTAATTAGAAGTTGCTTGTTACAGTGAACAAGATATATATATATATAAAATATTACAGATTTAAAGTCGCTTTATAATACGCTAAAATTGTTGCAAAAGCCTTGTATTATCATTTTTAAAAAATATTAAATATTATTGCCACGATTGCAAACTGTTGATGGAGACAAGATGGAGCAAATGAGATCTTATATGTTTTTTATTTAGCATAAAACTGAAACCTTAACTAACTTAAAAAATTAAAAATAATTTGAGCATAAGCTTGAATTATGTTCTTCAATTTACATAACAATTTTGATATATATAGCTGTAATATATGAACAGAAATCATTTCGTTTACACATAATTACTTATATGAACTCATTCATAATAATTTTTAAATAATATTTATGTTTTAATGAAGAAGACAGGGAAGTAGCATAGGAAAAGGATAATGAAAAGCAATTTCAACTCAGCTGTGTACTTGGCAATACAATTTTTGATTACAATAAGCAGCGCAGTTACCTAAGGCTTTTGGCTAAGACAACGAGTCATGCCCAAATACTCGTTGATCATTTGCATAAAAATTGTTAATCAAATCATTTGGTTCACCAGGTAAGTTGTCTTGGTCTACAGAGAATTACAACTGTTAATACAATTTATTTGGCAACCTTATACTGCGTATGTAGGGTATATTTAAGAGCATGAAAATTCAGTCTAAATCAGTCAAGGCACCATTCAGCACATACTTTAAAGGTTGCTTAATGAGTTGCCTGCTCCAAGCATTGTATATCATAATTAGTATACCCTGTAATGCTATAGGGCTCAAATATGAAGAGGTATGAAGATTTTACTTAATAACCTTGGGACGAACATTTTACAGCAATTTATTACTTATGAGTGTTGAGGTAAGAGTAAGTAATTCAATAGATTTCATATATTATATAAAGATATATTATGTCAATATTAATATTAATTTCAGCTTAAATTTTAAATGAATGGACTGACGATAGAACTTCAAAGTGATTTGTATATTAAATTTAATTTATATATGCGTAACAGATAAGGTAGAAGCTTTTACGTAGATTATTTGGCATTTTAAATCTAATTTCCGTATATCTCTATATTAAGTCGGGGTTTTAAAATATTTTAACATAGAAGAAGAAATATACAAGAAAACAGCATTTGGATATCTTTGAGGTGCTTTAGTCTAATTTCAAAGAATTTGTAACAAGCTATTTGGCATTAGTATTCTTCAATATTCATGGCAGATTTTCCCTGAAAGAAATCTGTGGAATTTTTTTATCTTTGCAGTTCGGATTAGAGTCTATATTTCTCTCTTGTATTTTGTTCATTTGTAATACAAGTTTACGTTTAAAATTCTTTTATTACAGAATTATTTGAGAGTTACTGCAGAAATATTTCATGCTCTTCTAACTAATCTAATAATTAATTCAAATGCAAAATTTATTGAGAGTTAGTGTTAATTGTTTTTTTTTCAGCTTTTTATAACTAACTTACAAATAACTTAAAGTTTAAAAAATTATTTTAAATATAATTGAAGAGTTAAGCTAGAAGCAAACTCAGTAATTATATTTTGTAATTTTCGTACAGGGTATTCCAGCTGTCGACTCACTCAGCAGGCGCTCAGCCCTTTCGCTTATAGTTAAAAAATAAAAAGCTAAAGCTTAATCAATCGATAGTCAACAAGATTTGCCGACATGAGCACACGTGACTAAGGGGTATGTTCAAGGTATAATCGGATTATGATTATGTCTATGCGGAAGCTATTAGCGACAAGTGCTGCGCAGACAATGGACAATCTTGAAACCTGTGTCGGCGCCGAGAGTAGTCAATTAATTGAAAATAGCGGGTCAGAGAGCTTCACGTAGATGGAGATTGATGCAGCGAGTGCCAAAAGTGAATTCCAAATACAAATTATATGCAGCAGGCCAAATAAGCAAAAGAGAACAATTTCTCAACTCTCTGTGTGTGTGTGTGCGTGGATGCTGTATGCCACTGCTGGGATTTGCGAGCTGTGGCATTTGACGGATGAGCTGGCGACGTGAGAGTCAGCCAAACAGAGAGAGAGAGAGAGCGAGTTTCCTTGCTGCCAAAGCCATTTTCACTACTAAACTAAATTTTCCACATCGTTAATTTATATTAATATGATTTCTGTGTCAACGGTCGGCGATGTCTGAGCCAACGTACTCGTCACCCGTCGCGTATATAGAGTATATATATATATAGAGTAGATATATATGCGTGTGCTGGAGCGACACCCATGGAGGTCGCCGCGACGCCGTCGCAATGTTTATCTAAATTGTTATTTTTCACACTCACGCAGTTCAATGAATTTGTGAAAATTACGTTTGGGACTTTGTGTTTGCTCATCGACGACGTCGCTGGTCGCTTCCTGGCCCCACCGCCTCCCTCCAGCCAGGAACTTGCCTTAGGACTGGGCACGGTGCGCCAGACTTTGACTTTAAGCGGGTATTGCCAAACGAAATTCAATTTGCCTCCATTGTGTTAATCCTGTTATTAGCACTCGCCTTGCCAAAACACACACACACACATCTACACACGCGCATCCTTTAACACACTTAACAGGCAACAGACCAGCCACAAATTTTCTCTTCAAGTGCTGTCAATAAAAATGTCGCTAAAACTGATTTTTCTTTTGGCTACTTTGAAATGCTTTGGCACCGATGCGCAAAATGATTTGTAGAGTAATGTAAAGTCGTTATATTGGCTTGAGTTTTTCTTTTATGTGTGCACGCAATAAAGGCTTAAAGCGCAGTTGCTTAAGCATGTGACAGGCTCTATAAAAAATGTGCTTGAATTTATATACTTTTAAGCCTAGGGCTTTAGTGGTTCATGTTTTAAGTATAGCAAATTCTCTAGTAAATAAATAAGTTTAAAATATAAAGAAGTGCTATGAAGAGGCTATGATTTATTATTGTTTTAAAATAATTACAAACTGATTTATGTTGAAGTTGAAGCGGCTTTTATAGATTTTTTAAAACATAGATTTTCTGTCTATTTCTAGAAAAATAACAAGAAGATAAAAAAAGTCAAAAATATATTATCAATAAGCAAAAAATGCATATTTAATTTTTTACTTATTGATAATATATTTTTGACTTTTTTTATCTTCTTGTTAGTTTTTTGCTTTAAAATATATTAAAAAAAATAAGAAAATTATTTTAAAAAAAATTAAATCTAAAACATTTGCATTACAACATTGATATTAATATTAAAAGCTATTTTATAATACTAAAAATAATAAATAAGACCAGAAATAATTATATAAATAAATTATTTATAAGAAGTTCTTAATAATATATAATAGTAAAATTCGTTTTTGATTAATTATTTTTTAGAACTGTTGTTTTTTATATTTTAATTATAATATAGATTTAAAAAATATTAGATATAATGATTAAAACTTTAAATTTGTTAAGTGTCTTAATTTAAAGCAAAAGAAAACTAATGGAAAATAGTAAAAGTTTCTAACATAAATAATAAATAACTGGTAAAGCAACAAATTAAAAATGAATAACAATTTTATAAATTTTTTATGATCAGATAAAATTGGAAAATAATAGAACTTTTATTGAAATTTTTAAATAAATAAAAAAATATTTTAAAGAATGCTAAATTTCAATATAATTTTTGTTTAGCTTTTCTGCAACTTCACTTTTTATATAAAGAAAATAAAAGAAGCAAATGCAAGTTGAGTTTAGCAATATTCTATAAATAGAAACTGAATTGAATGTTTGTAATCCAACTAGACAGGCCAAGCCAATCCAATCAGCATTTTCGACTACTTACAATATAACCCTTATGTATGTATATAAGAAGAAGAAGAAGAAGAAAGGCATGATAGGTTTTCAATTTAATTGAAAATTGGCCCGCATTGGGCCAAAAGCGAACTGTAACCCGTTTATTCACGTTGTTTACATATTATTTAAGTTTATTTTTATGGAACAGCTACAAAAGGTGCAAATGAAAATGTGTGGAAAATGACTCCGGGTGTGTGTGTGAGTGTGCGGGCTGAGATAAGCTATTGAAGGTGTTGTGGTGTTTGCGATTAGATAAGCAAAAAATCAAACAGTTGGCTGTTATTTCCGCCGAGGGTCGGAGGGCAGCAGCCAGAGGGTTGCCTTGTTTCCAGGCGCATAAAAATCGTGTGTAATGGAAATTAGTTTTGTGCAATTTTTGTTCGCTTTGCGCAAATAAATTGAATTCACTAAAAGCTAGCTCGTAATGCTGCTCTCCCACTCGCTGCGTCTGTGCCTCTCTCCCTCTCTCCCACGCTCTCGTTCGTCGCTCTCTCTAATTAGAGCGTCTTGCAGCATTGTTGCCTCATGTGGCGCTAAACCAATTTGCACTGCGTAATTATATCTATAAGTTCGTTTTGTATCTTTGAGATACATTTATTTGCACTTCCGTCATATTTTCTCTGCGTCTTCTCATTTCATTTTTTTGTGCTAATAACATTTACACTAATGGACACATAATACATTTAGCTATGCCCAACTCTCGCTCAGCGACTGACTCATAGTTAACATTAATAAAAAGCCGCACAGTGGCTCATGTGTGTTTGCGCACACAGCCCGAAAAATGCA